GATGGACTTCCCTGGTGGAACAGTAGGTTAGAATTTGCCTGCCAATCCCTGGTCTAGCAAGATCCCACATACCTGGGGGCAACCAGGCCCATGCAGCACAACTGCTGAGCCCACACGCTAGAGCTCACACCCTGCAACAAGGGAAGCCGCTGCAATGTCTTAGAAGCCCATGCCCCGCAACTAGAAAGTAAACTCTGCTCGCTGCAACTAGAGAAAGCCCACATAGAAACCAAGACCCAGTGCAGTCAAAAATAAGTAAATAAATTTTAAAAAGCCGGTGACAACTCCCTAGTAGACACTGAAAGACAAGGATAAATAAACACAAATTATTTCAGTATAGAATGAGGCAAAAGGAAGAGTTTGTTTAAAGAGATGCAAGAAGACCCGGAACAACAGACTTCACTCCGAGATCCTGACTGTCTGCTTGATCTACAGCGTCAAATGAGTTTCTTGAAAACCTTTTTCAGCATCAGGATGTAAATAAATTCAATCAATACACTGAGCAAATTAACTTACAGAACCAACAACTATCATTTGACTGTGGAAGGGGTATAAAATTGTATACGGAAACCATGAGAAAGAATCAGTTCAAGCGCTATGTATTGTTAGAATGATTAAAACCAACAGAGTCTCTAGACTAGACTAAGGGAGGTTTGGGAGAAATGGATAAAGACCCACTGCCCATATCTGTGATGAGTGGAAGGAATGCTGGACTGGTGCTCAGCATTCCAGTTGTGGCCAGGGCTCAAGACATTAACAAACCACACCCAAGCTTGTGATCTGTCAAATGGGAATATGATGGCAAAGTTCCCGATTTAGCTTTTAAGTTCCACAGTGTTGTTCAACAACTGTCTCTACTTTCTACTTACCACTGTAAAAGCAGTAGGATCAACGCCAACAGACTTAGTAGTAAACACGGCTCATAAATTCAGAGAAAACAACATCGTGGAGGAGAGAATTTGAAAACAGAAATCATTATTCTTGTTACAGATAAAATACAATCAAAATTAAACTAAATAATTACAGAGACAATATACTCATACATGATCACTTTTACTGCTGTTTTAACATCATACTTTATTGACATTTTAAAAAAATCTATCTATCTATCTATCTATATATATATATATATTTAGAGTCAAAGACCTGAGCAAAATGTCCCGTCTAGTACAAATTCAATAAACATTTGCTAAGCTGATGAGCAAACAAAAGAATTTAAACCAATGCCCCAGTAACTGTCAGTATGAGAGAGTTTGGCATTGTATTTTAAAAAGTTATTATCTTGACTTATTGGTACTAAACGCTGTTGTAACATATGAAATGGGGAGCTTATGCCTTCATAACCAGTGCTCTTTGCTTGGATATGACCTTCTGGTTGAGGCCACCTGCAGCCCTCCCACCACTCTGCCTCTCCCAGTCTTTTCTCTGTAATTAATAATGCAACATGTTATGGCAAAAGCTGTAGCTCAGCTGCAGTCCTGACTATTCTTTAAAAGTGGATAGGAACTACAGATTGACTCAATTTTATAATGGTACACACATTTTCATTATTAAATAACAGGCTATGTTACCCTTATATTCCTGCTTTCCCTAAAAATTAAAAATTTACATTAAAACCCTCAAGAGTTCTAAATTTAAAACTGACTTTAAAAAATAGGTGACTCCCGAAATTTATTTCAGCCATCATCATAAAGCAAAGAATGCAGCATGGTTTTTGAAAACAATAGCAACAAAATAACCAACTTAGATTAAAGGGGCCTCTTACTTGAAGGTACTCTTATCAGCACATCACAGATGGGTGGGTATTATTAGTTAGGGGAGGCAAGCTCCAGTCTGCTTAGATTTAATAATAGATTTAATGTCTCATCTGCAATAGGCTCTCAAAACTATCTGATGTTCATGATGTACTTAGATCTAAGAGCACCTTTGCAAATAGTCTTTAAAATGAGTGCACCTATATGAGGTTACAAAACACATTATCCCCAAATTGATTATGAAAAAATTCAAACATACAGTAACTTTTCAAGAACAATACAATGATCACCAGGATACCTACAGTTCTATCAATCATTAGCATTTTAACATATTTGCTATATCTAGCACAGTGGTCCCCGATCTTTTTGGCACCAGGGACCAGTTTCATGGAAGACAATTATTCCATGAACCCAGGGAGGGATGGTTTCAGGATGCTTCTCATAAGGAGCCCGCAACCTAGATCCCTTGCATGCACAGTTCACGGTAGGGTTCAAGCTCCTATGAGAATCTAATGGCTCTGCTGATCTGATTGAAGCTGGAGCTCAGGCAGTTAATACAAGCAGTAGGGAGGGGCTGTGAATAAGGCGACGCTTCACTTGCTAGCCTGCCTCTCACCGTCAGGCTGTGTGGCCTGGTTCCCAACAGCTCTGTGGCCTGGGGGTTGGGGACCCCTGATCTAGAACCACTTGAAAGGAGGCACAGAAGACACCTGGCCCGTTAATACTTCAGCATGTGCTGCTTCCTAATTAAAGGGACACTCTTCTCCTCCACCCTAAGACCACTACTGTATTTTAAATATTAAAAATGACTGTAACTAAAAGGTCTTTTTGTGATAATCCACAGTCAATATCCATTTCTTAACCAATGCAAGATTCAAATTCAGAAAAAAAATGTATGACTCATGTCCTTACCTTAAAAGCATATTTGCGATTAATGTGATCCTCTGAGGTAAGCAGAGCTATCTGAAAACTGGGCAACAGTATGCTTCCCAGAATACCCTCTTCTTTCTCATCTGAGAGGTAATTGAACATCTGATTAGAATTTTCAATGTACTCATGAAGCAGAATAAATTTTCTCAAAACTTATTCTGACAAAACCAGAAGACTTTCATATATAAATTTGTGTGATTTATTCAATTCATGTATTATATTGTAAGGCTTTAAGGGAAAACATTAAATAGTGGAGTATATATATATATACTGCTTTACTCTCAACAAAATTCCCTGTCTTAAGCAAATCAGAACTTGGCCCACATGTCAGAAAAAGGTCAATTAAGACACAAAAATGGCATACCTTTGTTTGGCATATAGACTGCATTCTACAAAGTCCTCTGACATGTGATTCACTGAAACTACATTAGCGTGTAAGTGGTGACGCTGAAAACTTACAAAATGAATCCACCCATGTTTCCCATAGGATTTAAACGGGGAACCATTTTAAAGCCCAGACAGGCATGGCTATCTCATCACAACCTTCAGACTTTGTTCCATGTCTCATCAATGAACCCTTTCTTGACTGCTTTATTTTGAAGTGCTTCCATCCTGATCTGTCCCAGAACCCTCTCTTCTCTTTCTGGAACTCCACCACAATGACCCTCAACATCTGCCAATATCTCTGAAACACTGCATGTTTTATTTTTTACTTATCATCTTCCTCTCCCTGACTAGAATGTAAACTCCACGAAGACACTTAGAACAATAGTAGATGCTCAAACATTTTTGAATACATGAATATATATACATAAAAACATCTTTTAAACTATGCTATAAAAATTATATGCTTCTTAAACATGGATCCTTGAAGGGTTGTTTTTACCAGTCACTGTGATACACAATAAAGCTAGGAGAATAAATCACAGACCTACAAGGCAAGTACATAAAATATACCTAGGAAAATGTCAAAATATTCTTTCTGGCACAGTATAGATTCACATTATTAACTTACTGCTTGGGGGCAGAGACTTCTATGAAACTTGAAATATATAGTACATTGTTAGAGACGTGTAAGACAAGTTAATAAAAGCTATGCATTAGGCTGGTGAACTCACCAATGAGAAAAATCATAAATTAGAAATAATTCTTTTTATTATGTTTGCCATGTATTTTTAATTATTATTATAAACTTAACAAGGGATTTCATTTATTTTCCCCTCATTTCTAGAATATATGTTGAAACTTCCAAAAGAAAAAAGTCACAGTAGAGGTTCATTTCAGTAACTCTTCTCATAATAGTGGAACAAAATTTTGCTTTTACTCTATTATACTCATTCATTAGTTCTCTAATACAAGACAGAATGAACGAAAGTGCAGATTTATTCTGAAAGGCAAAAAAAACAGGGGGGGCAGGGCAGAAAGCAGACAACAATTATAAAGAATGACAATTTAAAAGAATGAGTCACATTCTAATTTTAAATCCGATTTTATGTTTATATAAAACATAATCAGAAACAGCTCATGAAGTCATCTTTATTAAAAAATCATTTTTTATCAAATAATAAATTCTTCTATGTTGCATAACTGGAAAATTGACTTTCCTAAAGTTATTTCAGAATGCAGAGGTAATAAGCATAGGGTGACTTCACCGATTATCACTGACTGTTTCCCAATCGGATTCTAAGTAGCGGTAAGATCTTGCCAAGCTACCGGATGCTGGGTATCTCAGTGTCATCTGTCACAAAACCGAGGAAAACAGGACTTGCCACAAAGGAACACACTGGGAGGGCTAAATGAGTTAACAGACAGAATGACTGCAATGATGCACTCAGCCCACACTACGAGTTCAGTAACAATTGCCATTATTGTATAAAACTGAAGGCATATAAAATCTCCATCCGTCAAATGACTATCCAAAGAGTCATATGCTAGATTACTTATATGTTCTTGAAAGTGAAAGTGTTAGTCGCCCAGTTGTGTCTGACTTTTTGGAGACCCAAGGACTATAGTGTACCAGGCTCCACTGTCCATGGTATTCTCCAGGCAAGGATACTGAAGTGGGTAGCTATTCCCTTCTCCAGGGGATCCTCTCCACCCAGAGACTGAACCCAGGTCTCCTGCATTGCAGGCAGATTTTTTACCATATGAGCCACCAGGAAAGCCCTAAATGTTCTTAATCACAGCCTTTTTTCAGTTCTCTACCTAGGTAACTGTCTTAGTTTCAGTCACCCAGAGGGCCTCGTACTCTGGTCAAGCCAAGGGAAGGTACTTGATGTTTGCAGAAAGAATGAACTCCTTGTCAGGGACTGGGGGTCAGCGAGGCCTTTCCCGGACTGCAGGGAAGCCTAACTCTTCCTTCTGTGCTGTCCTACTTCCCTTCCTCCCCAGCCCCAGGTCCTGATACCAAGACCACTCCCCAGAAAGCCTCTTGCACGCCGATCTGCATCTCAAGGCTTGCTTCCTGAGGAACACAACCTGAGAATCTCAACACGTTAGTGGATTCAAATGATATTTTTGATCCCCCATTTCTTCTTCTGCTTCAAAGAAGTTTGGGAACAACAAAAGACATGCATACAATTACAGTGGGTAAATAACTTATAGACTGGAATACTGTTGCTAATTACCATTCCTCACCCAGAATACCTCAATATTATGCTGACTGTTGTCTTGGCTTCTGGGTTTCCCAGGTGTCTCAAAAGAAAAGAATCCGCCTGCCAATGCAGGAGACACAGGTTCAGTTCCTGGACAGGGAAGATCCCCTTGAGAAGGAAATGGCAACCCACTCCAGTGTTCTTGCCTGGGAAATCCCATGGACGGAGGAGCCTGGCAGGCTAAAGTCCACGGGGTCACAAAGAGTCGGACAAGACTTAGCGACTAATCAACTCTTGGTTTGTAGTTCAAGTTCTGGGATGATTTTTCTAAAATGTACACTTGATCTTGATACTAGTTTCGTGTTCAGTACAGGAGTTTACATTTACTAGAATGACAAACAAATGCCTTTCACACCTTGATTTACTTTTTAGCCTTTCCTCTTGCTAGGTCTTCCGGTATAATCTTTATTTCTTAAGCTCTATGGGTTATTTTACAAATATGCCATGCTCACTCATGCTGTGTATGTACTATGCAAGTCATTTGTCTCTAGATCAACCTTCTTTCCTGACCCCTTCCTTGTACAGGCCTGGTCAATAGCCGTCAACACAACTGAATACTACAACGTTCTTTCTCAGACTCCTTTAGCTAATCTGTGAGCTCCAGAAGGAGAGGAGTCTATATTGTTGACTTCTGCATCTTACCACCTATTAAGATGTCTGGTGCATCAAAAGAGCTCACTGCTGGCTACCACCCTAGTCTGAACCCATCATTTCTACACAAAGTCTCCTAACTCTGTTTCCTTCCTTCTACTTTATAACCTGTTCCCTAACAGCAACTTGGGGCTTCCCTGATAGCTCAGTTGGTAAGGAATCTGCCTGCAATGCAGGAGACCCTGGTTCAATTCCTGGGTCAGGAAGATCCCCTGGAGAAGGGATAAACTACCCACTCCAGTATTCTTAGGCTTCTTTTGTGGCTCAGCTGGTAAAGAATCTGCCTGAAATGAGGGAGACCTGGGTTTGATCCCTGGGTTGAGAAAACCCCCTTGAGAAGGGAAAAGGCTATCCACTCTATTATTCTGGCCTGGAAAATTCCATGGACTGTATAGTCCATGGGATTGCAAAGAGTCAACTTTGAGACACAACTAAGAGACTTTCACTTTCACTTCAACAGCAGCTTGAGTGAGCTTTTTGAAAATGTAAATTAAAGCACATCACTCTTGTGATTAAAAATGTACGGTCGCTTCCTTGTGGCATTTTGGGCAGAATCTAAACTCCAGTAGCATCCTACATAGGTGCGATCTCCACTTCTCCCGTCCATCTCTTTCCCTACGGCTAACCCTAGGGCTTGGGTCACTGGTTTCTTCCTGCCCCTTCAACATGCCCAACACTTTTCTACCACAAGGCCTTTGCACTATTATCTCTCCTGTTTGGCATACTCTGCTTCACTCTGGTTCCTTCTTGTCATTGGGATCTTGCTACCTAAACCGTCTGCTCAGAGTCCTGATCCAAACAGGCTCCTGCCCCGTGACCTTCTTTTGTATCATGACCTTATTCTCCTAAAAGCACTTACCATGGTCATGTTTATTTATCTGAGTGGATCCACTGTCTTCCTGACCTCTCAAGATTGCAAGCTTTATGGAAGCTTTCTTTCACTGCTATTTTAATAATACCTGGAATGAACTAGGTCTTGCTCAATAAATATTTGCTGAGTGAATTATATCCTGTGTTAAGTTTCATCAATAGACTGACTACAGAACAGAGCAATTTCCGTGCTTTATCACAGTTTTGCAAAGAACAGTGAGAACCTGGGCTTCCATCTGGTATTGGATGCTATTCTATTGTTAACAAAAAAAAGCAGCAAAGCTCTTATTCTCTCACTGTATTATTTCCCATATCTGTAAAACACAGACTGATCTGTTAAAAATTTCTGACAGCACACTCTCAATGTTAGAATATTAGATGCTTGGAGAGATACAGAAGAAATGAATGGGGCTGCTGTACTCAATGCACAAGAGAAGACGAGATTAGGAATTCTCTAGTGGTGTAATGCTTAGGACTCTGTGCTTTCACTGCTGTGGACCCAGGGTTCGATGCCTAGTCAGGGAACTAAGACCCTACAAGCCCCATGGTGTGGCCAAGAAAAAAAAGAGAACATAAGATTTGGGTGGGGCAAAAACTTGTGGTTAGGCCAAGTGCCTGGGTGCAAATCCTGGCTCTTGAGACTTGCTAGGGGAGACCTCAGGTCAGCTACTGGACCTGGCTGCCCTTAGTTTCCTCCTGTGTGACTGTGTAGAATAAGACTTGCCACCTTATCAGGTGGCTGTGTTGGGAAGATCCCCTATGGAAGGGAACGGCTACGCACTCCAGTAATCTTGCCTGAAGAATTTCACGGACAGAGGAGCCTTGTGGGCTACTGTCCATGGGGTGGCAAAGAGTCGTACACGACTGAGTGACCAACGCTTTCACTTTTCACGTTCAGCTGGCTGTGAGGAAGAGATGCAGTAGATCATAATGTGATGAGCTTAGCAAACAGTAAACACTCTACTGCAAGTTATTATGATCTTTTCACTAAAATCTGAGTTGTCACTTAAAATCTAACATTTCCTGTTGATAAAGTAGCGAAAGTGTAGTATCATATGCCTCTTTCCAACCATCTGAAGAACAGAGGTGAGTTAAGTGATATTTCTTTCCTTTCTATATTTTCTTCTTTTTCATATTTCTCCTGTCTGGGGAAATTGCACTATAATTAATAGATGTATTGAGTGCAAAACACATATGTTTAAAAATAATATGCAATCTCATATTCAACATGACTTTGGAATTCACCTTTACTTTTTTCAAATTACATTATTTTATTTTAGTAAAAGTGATGAGTAGCAAGCACATTTCCAAAAGCAATAACATCAAATGGCAAGGAATTTAGTGTTCTTTCTCTTGCAAATTAACATTAAGAAATTTTTTATATGAGAAGCAGCAAACACTTTCTTGTTCCTAAAGTCCTAAATTTAGTCCATAAAACATACTGAAAAAAAGAAAGAAAAGTACAAATTATAAGCTTAGGAATAAAATATGAGTTACAAACACTGACTTTCTGAAAGACTGGGAAAACCTTTAAAGAAAATTTTAAGTCTTGCACTTAACTAAAGATAATACCACAATTGCAGCCCAACCAATATCTCTGTGCCAAACATGAAATTTTATAGGTTTGGTTAATTCTGACTCAGCAGTATTTCTCAATCTTGGTATTCAGTGGGGGAAAAAAAAAGATGGATACAATTCTAGTAATTTCAAATTTTGAAGGTCAATTTGCATATGCTGCTTTGATAGGTGACCACAGAATTCTGCCCCACCTTTTTTTGGGGGGACAATCACAAAGTAAATTTTAAAACTGCTAATAGGCTCTAAAATCCTACTGTATTTTGTGGTATATAAATTGGTAACTATATACTGACTGATTCCAACCAGATTCTAAAGTATGGAAGAAGGGCTGGCTGTCCAGATTCATGATTTTATATTGTAGCTGAAGCAGATTTCTAGGGGAGCACGGCATCCCTTTGCACTGCTTTGCACCAACTTTGGGGAAACTAACAGATAAACATGGCACGTGAACAGAGACTTCTCTGGACTCTGACTTTGCATTAATAAACAACTTACTAAAGCCTACAAAAACATTAAAACAAATGAGACAGAGATATAAATGAAGACTGCTTTTAATAATACCTTTACTTCTTCTCCATCAACATTAATAGCCTAATTTGTAGGCTATTAATCCCTTTTGCAACTTTCTCATTTTAAGGGAGTTGCCATTGTTTAAAAGAAAAGTGTGTGTGAGAGAGAGACAGAGACAGAGAGACAGAGAGGGGGTACTGGAAGGGATCATAATAAGTAAATGGTTTGCTATTTTTCTTATTTGCTAATACATCATAGTAGTCTCTAGTGCTCTAAAATCATTTGCTGGGGAGAATGGCGTGTCTAGTGGACCAATGGCTAGATGTGACAAAACTGACATATAAAAAGAATCCCATCAAATTAATGTTTTCTTATCTATTAGGCATTGCATTCAAGGATAACATTATAGAGTGAATACTCACATGCTCTTCATATAAAACAAATCAGGTTAGCAGAAACAGATTACAAAAACCAGACTAAAACTAAGACCATTCAGTTTGAAGCACTACATTGCCTTCTTCCCCACCTTATTTACTTCAAATTACATACGTCAATTGGAGAAAGGAATGACAACCCACTCCAGTATTCTTGCTTGGAGAATCCCAAGGACAGAGAAGTATGGTGGGCTACGTCCATGTGGTCACAAAGAGTTGGACATGACTGAGTGACTAACACACACATACCACACATATCAAGAGTTTCTTGATATCAATTTGTTGATAATAAAATAGTAAAAAGATTTCTAATTTTTTTCTTTGAAAGAGTATCTGATGCTTCACATACATTCTACAGTTTCTGGTAGTAAACTCACCTCTATAATAAAAGAGGCAAAGATCAGAAAGCACGAACCAGCGTTTCTTCCATAGCTTCATGCCAGTGCTGTCCTGCATGAAATAAGTGTGATAAAGGATTATTTCTTTTTCATTTCAGAAAGTGAAAACTCATTTCTGGTGCATTTGTTTAAAATAAGTTCTTAAAACAAGGTGTGTTTGATATATGCTGCACAGAAATCTAACTAAAACCCTAATCAAAATGTTAAGGTAGTTTTCCAGGGATTTGTATCATGGTAACATATTTATAAGTACACTGGTCTTTGACGAATAATACTGCCATATAAAAAGGAATTCTGTTGAAGCAGTTTGATTTGGTTTCGTATTTGCAAGCAATTTGAACACGTCTGCTAGCATGAGAATAATGTAACTGTGCAGTAGTGTGTGCACTCTGGTAAGTCAGATTTAATAAATATGTTCACCTTCAACATGAAGAAAAGTGTGTGATTTGAAATTATTCCAAAAGAAATGTGATTTAAAATGATTGTGAGTAAAGGAAACTTAGCATACAAACACATTTAATAAACATTTTTTTCTTCTTACATATCCAGTCTGGGTTTTGCTTATCCTGCAGAAGAGAGTACCCACTTGGCAGCTTTTTCTAAGTAATTGAGGTAATAAAAATACCAAGTTCAAACAAAACTACAATTTAAATAAAAATTACTTTCCCACATGCAATAAAGCAAAACCACAGGAGAAAATGAAACACAGACATAAACAGGTAAAAAAGACGCCAGTTTGTATGTGTGTTGATTAATATTTCTTATTTCTAGTTGTGACCATCACTTAAGGATGCCTTCAGAACTGAAGAAATTATATGGGTAAAAATCTCTTAAGTAAGAGATTTCGTCCCTAAAATTTACAGGTACACTAAGGAAAGCACCCGCCTTAAAATATGTATTTTCAATTTTGTAATTAACTATTTCTTTAGTATAGGTAATTTCAAAATTTAGATTTTTAAGCAGTTCTACAAATATTCTCTGTAAGCTACATACCTATTACAGAATAAATACTCAGGAGTAGAGAAACTTGGTAGAGTTTGGCAATACTAAATTAACCAAGGGATCAAGAACTAAGAACAGCAATCATTTTAAGTAAGGAGTCCCATATCCTCTACAAAGCTCAATATCACATTTAGCTATTTGAACAGAATTTGGACTCATTAGAAAGTCTAGTTAAAAATCTTTCAGCTTGGATAAGTTTAAATGTCAGATGGTTAAAATACAGTTAAGTGATCTTTAAATAAAAATTAAAAGTTGGTATCCAAGTTACACAGTCAATCAATGCAGTCAGAAATTGGCAAAATTAATTTGCTTGAATAGGGATTCTCTGAATTAAGTGGATCTACTTCCAATACGTTAGATTAGTTGCCATCCAATTGTCAGGTGGAACAATGCCTAATGAATGTTTCATAATGAACTCAGTGAATTTTAATGAATATAATTATTAGGTCATCTGAAAGCAATTAGCATTATTTGACAGAGTAAATTAGCACTATTAATGAACTAATATTTAACTAACATCATCTGCATACATGTAGAACCAGAAAGACAGAACAAAGGAGTGCTGAGTGCTGTTATCTCAGTTATCTGGAGGTCGTTTATTTGAAATCCAGATGCAAACCAGAAAGTGAAAAAGAAACCAACAGCCTCTCAGCAATCAAAACAAATGCCACCAAGTCCAGTGTACACACATCCTTATCAATTACAAAACTAACAAGGTTCCAAAAAAGCTTAGTTACCAGGTTTTCCAGATAATGGAAAAATGTAAACCCCTACTTATGAGGGTATAAGAGTGACCTATGCCTGGGCAAACAGATAAACAAGAAAAGAAAAAGAAAAAAAAGCAGACACTTGAAAGAGTAGTTTTGAGGGCATGGAAGCAAAACTGCAAAACTTAGAAAAATCTCAAATTATCATCAAATTTCTCTATAAATCAAAGCAGACAAGTACATAATTGTACCTTTTTATAATAGAAAAATGAACAACTCTATTTTTTTCCACTGAAAAAATTTTTCTGCCTAGAAGATCTTAGCGTGTTATTCCTAACATTTTCATACAACATACATTTAATTTCAAATTTAGGTATACCTCTCTCTCTCACACACACACACAACACCTCTGTTCCAGGTAACACCCATTACACTTCTTTTTTCACTGTCCCCCTAACACTCTTCATGGTGATAAAAAGGGAAGAACCTGGATGATTAGCTCTACAGTTTCTTCTCCACTGTATACAACTGTCTTAGGACCTTCAGCTGAAAAGGTTTATTTTTATTCTCTTTTTTTTTCACAGCAAACAGGGGGAAAAAAAAATACCTGTTTATAAAGCCAGCCTCGTCTGACCACAGGTGCATTAGGATTCCTTTTAATTGAATTTGATCTCTTCCCAAAATTATGAACTTTTTTTGAGGCCCGTGAAGTCTAAAAAGAAAAAAAGCCCAACAGGAAATATGGTATTAATGCCTAGATATTGAGTTTACTTTTTATCTTCATAATTTTAACCTTTTAAAATCTCTTCTCCAGATTTCTTTGAAACTTCCAAGATTTAATCTTCTCAGATGAATTGTTGCAATTCTGCTTTTGTGTCTTAGTTGTTTCAAGTATAAGAATTCTGCACAAAGGCTTTCCTCTTCAAGGATATTACAAAAGGATCACATATTCCTCTCCTTTAAAATTTTCAGGAACAATTTTTAAAAAGGCACAGTGTATGGCAGTATTTTGCCCTATGTGCTAAATAAAATGAAACTTGAGTAAAAATTATATTAACACATTTTAAAGAATAAACCAAATGACAGAACTTTTTGACTTATATCTGCAGTTAACAGTGTTGTCCCAATTAAAGAAAGTCAACAGTGTCAAGTTACAAGAGCAAATCTCACAGATAAAATATAAACAAACATATCACGTCAAGTCAAAACAAGACTGGGAGGAACTGCTTAATGTCATGTAGTGTTTTCTTCTTTACGGACAACTCTGAACTTGAATGATGCCAGCCAGATGGTGTTTACCATATTCTTAAAAGTACACATAATCTTTTAAAATATTGCTATGTTTAACCCAAACAATTTATCTTGGTCAGAATGATAGCAGTAACCAACAAACCTAAAGACAAAAGAAGCTGAATTTCAATTTCTCTGTGAAGGTAAGTTGGAGAAGGAAATGGCAACCCACTCCAGTGTTGCCTGGAGAATCCCAGGGACAGAGGAGCCTGGTGGGCTGCCGTCTGTGGGGTCGCACAGAGTCAGACATGACTGAAGCGACTCATCAGAAGCAGCAACAAGGAAGGTAAGTAGTATCAATTTATTTCTTATTTTTCAACTTACTAGAATCTTTGGAAAGCTAGCACATTTCATTAAAACCTCCTTTTGTAAAACTTATATCAGTACATAATAGAATTTTAAGGTCTAATATCAATCATGGCATTTTTTTTCTGGATAAATTTTAATTTCCTCTTGAACAAATAATGCATAAAAACACAGTATAAACCTCAAATGGTACACAAAGATGTAGAAGGACCAGTCTATTTCTCACCTCTAGACTCCAGCATCCAAACAACCCAAACACTCTAGGCAACTAGTGTCACTGTGTATATATGTGTGTCTATCCATGTAGATAACTCTTTTCACAGTTAGAGAGTATCTTTCTTTCCCCCTCAAATAACTGCCTATATAACACCTACTCCTCAGTATTCTTCTTTAAGTGTCATATAAGTTATCAATATTAGGCACATATGATAGTTCTCTGTGGTTGAATTTCTCATTCTCTCTTTTGACTTCTGGGATTTGTCATATTTAGACAGCACACCTGCATTCTGAGTTTGCTGTTGTTTTCGGCTTTTTTTTAACTTCCATTGTTTTTTGTACTGCTTTTATAGTTTTGTTTTTTTACCATTTTAAACACCTGGTCCGTCTGGAAAATTCTGGGTGTAAAGTGTGAGGCACAGATTCAACTTTCTTTCTAGACAATGACTCAGTAGCTCTCAACCCACCAGTCATTTTTCTAGATTTTAATTAAAATGCACTATGATGCTCAGTTATCCTTTATGTCATATATGAAATAGAAATAATTTACATTATTTGAAAACTTATACTTACTTGTAATATTCTACAAAATTTCGTTAAAGGAACCTTAACAAGTATTCTTTACAGTAACCATAATTTACTATTACAACTGTTTTACTATTATAAAATACATAATTATTTTCTAAATAAATGAAGACAATTCTTTTATCATCCTTTGATTCTCTTGCTATCCTTAATTTAGGCACCAAGTAGTAACTTTAAGGCAACTATTTATTCAGATTTAGCAGATTTTCTAAGAGTTTGAAGACATTTTTATATTAAAATTCTACATCGAAACATTAACATTATGGTACAAGAAGAAATAACTATGAATTATTATAGCCACATACGTCTGAGATCATAGATTAAACAGTATTTTTGTTTCTGATTACAAAGAAAAACCATCTACTTCTGTATGCATATGGCTATGACACTTTTCACATAATGGATTCTAAACAATTCAGTCATCAAGCAACTGGCATGGGGTTTTGAAACCTTTAAGCAGTAATGGATTCTACATTAACAAAATAGTATAATATAATATTATAGAATAAATATATACCATTCTAGGCATACTTAATAATGGGATTTCTAGGTCATTGAATTGTCACCTTTAAAACTTAAGTTGATTCAATAAACTGCCACTTTCTCACACAAACATCCATTATATTTGTAAAACAATTCAAAATCAGAACTCTATAGTATTTTAAAAATGTAAGTCATTAAATTATTAAAATATAATCTTATTTCTTTATATTCCAAGGCATTGCTTCTTATGCCAACTACCTCAAATGTAATTAGATTCATGTAACAGCAAAAATGAAATGATTATTCTATAATTCTAAGTTCATTAAGAGTAATAATAATGGATACTACCAATTATGCCAGTTATCAATAATTAAGAGTAAGCAAAATAACTTACCCTCCCTACAGGGCTCATTGGATGCACCGCATAGTCTGCAGTCATGTTATAGTTAGAAGCTTCATTTATCATACTTACAGGTCGTTCCTTTTTTTCTTCAGATGTCATGGTTGCAACAGTCCTGAAAATATAACATGTCAAGAGCGCTAGAACGTGCTGCTTCTGTAAACCACTTTATAATAATCTTGCATCCAGGGATCTTGAGTTTATTCTCTGTATTTGAGCTATTGTAAACATAGCTTCTGAAATTACATTCCTCATGAAAAAGATTTGAAGCCATGTTTCTACAGCACACATGGTAAACAGGTGGTTTACCATGTATTCTGTTATTACACTTGGCTGCAAGTGTCCAGATAAAAACCTGTTCAATTGCACTGTATTAAACACAGATGACGGCAACTGGAATGCTGACCCCATTCTGAACAGAGGCATTCCATGAAACGCTTTACTTACTGTTCATTTACTACAAAAATACAATTGTCCTGGGACGGCTGTCCTGTGACTGGATGTTTACAGGTCACTTTCCTTTCATTATGGCTGGAAGAAAAGAGAGTAAGAGAAAATGTATGTACTATTACCACAAACTTTACAAAATACCAGGTAGTGAAATAGCCAATTTCTTTATTGCAATAATAAAGTTATTGAGTAACGGCGATGCAATTCAAAGCCCCAGGCACTGACACTCTTACATAACTCTTTCTACTGTCTATTGTATGTATATGTGTGTGTGAATGCTAACTTAGTTTTACAATACAGCTAGACTCACCAGTTCCCAACCCACCCCCATCCACAGTAGGACCTCAATTTGTTCTTCTATTTTCATAAACAAAAGTAAGTTGATCTGGCTCCACAATCATTGCATTTTACATGATAGGTGGGCCATGAATAGAAAATAAGTTATGAGTATCCACCTACATCCATTATTTTGGATCCCAGTCTAGGCACATTATAGAGACCCACTGTCAAATTCAAACATGGAAAAATCAATCTAATAGCACTACAAGATGGGCACCAGCATATTAAAACAAAGGCTGTAGCACTGGAAGAGCAATAATTTATGGGATTGTCGTTTCACAAAGAAATCTTGACATAAATAATGTAAAGGGACTGATTTTTATATCTGAAGAATGTATGCTATAGAAAAATGTAACAGGAGAAATGGAAGGAGTAAATAAAATTTTTAAATGGATATACAAACAACACAAACAAAGAAAAATCTACCTTTTATGCTTGCTGGAAAAAAAAAAAAAACTGCTTTGATTTAAGAGTGGCTATTTTTTGAAGAATAAGACCTTTGCCTGAGAAATACTATTCTTCCTAGGTCAAGTGACAAGATTATGCCTACTACTGTCTTCTAGATATGAGAGGAGAAAAATGCCAATCTATTTATCTAAGTCCAAAATAACAGATGCCCGAAATAATATGCAACATGCAATGATACCTAAAAAATATACATCATTTGTAAGCAAGTATTTTTTTTTCCCACTGAGTAACACATCACAAAGAAATCTGTAAGGAAGATCAATCACTGACGTGCTAGACCTTAGAAAACAATTACAGAGAAAACAATCAAGATATTGTACTGAATACTGCTTTGTTAATTTTAAAAGATTATTCCACGTGATCTGTATTATAGGACATTTATAATCATAAGCCACAAACTTCCTGGCAAACGTTAGGTACATAAGTCTTTTTCCAAACCAAAACTTTCACCAATATTATTTTTATTGGTTACTCAAGTATTAGAAACTTTACCCAGTAAATAAAACTAAAACCATCTAAAACAGTACATAGTTTTTTTTTAAAGCATTATATATTGACTATCATGATAATAGAATGATGGATAGAATATAATGTGTTTTTATGATTCCTCTAGTTTATAGGAGCTTATTACACCAGTAGGTGTTTACAGCCTTTTGTGGTGGTTTTTTTTCTTTTTAAACAAAACACATTTAATAGGTGATAAGAGGCGGTGGGTTTAGATATTTATTTGTGGTGATACTTTCACTACATAAAAAGCATGCAAATGACTTTCTTACCTGTTGATTTAAGAAACTGCAACAATGGAAACCTAAAGTCTCATAATGGGACATCAGTTTATGTAGTAAGCAATAAACTGATGACAGAATAATTAAGAACAAACAGCCTCTGGAGATAAAGTGGAAAATGCTGAAGTACCTAAATGTGATGAATACTACGAATATGTCAAGGTACATAAACTCTTATGTTTTACTAGAATAAAACATTGTGGGGAAGGGAGTAAACCTATGATAGAGATTAGACACCTTAATAATGAAAAAAGGAGGACAGCATCTTTTTTTAAGTCTCTCCTTGGGAAGGGGCATTAAAAAGCTAGACTTGGTTCAGTGGAAGGTAGGAGAGAAATATACAAATTCTTTTTCTAAAAACCAATATTACAAAAATAAAACAAATATTTCCTATCGTATTGCATTATTTTCCAGTACTATGTCATCTTGTCTAGAGGGAATGAAGCAGATTCTAACCCTAATATTCCGGAAACTGTAAATTATAACCACAGAGCCCTACAATGGTTACTGGACTAAGAGGTTATTACTCTGACCTCCAGACAATAGATTTGAGTATCCATTAGACAAGGACATGGGCTTCCTTGGTGACTCAGACCGTAAAGAACATGCCTGCAATCTGGGAGACCTGGGTTTAAATACCTGGGTGGGGAAGATCCTCTGGAGAAGGGACTGGCAACCCACTCCAGTATTCTTGCGTGTAAAAGAGTCAGACACGACTGAGTAACACACACAGACAAGGACACAGGGCAAAGGAGACACTAAAATAAAGACCAATCATAAAGGAGCATAAACACTCTCTTCTCCGAAAGTGGATGCTATTTCAATTAAACTGAACACAGTTATACTGTCCAAGTACTTTCAGGAGCACAGTTTCTTTAAGTAAAACTCAATAAATAAATGAAAATCTTAGCATTCTATCTTAGTTAAAAGTGCATGCATGCATGCTCAGTCGTATTTGATTCTGTGACCTCATGGACTGTAGCCTGCCTGGTTCCTCAGTCCATGGGATTTCCCAGGCAAGAATACTGAGTGGGCTGCCATTTCCTTCTCCAGGGGATCTTCCCAACCCAGGGATCAAACCCATGTCTCCTACATTGGCAGGCAGATTCTTTATCACTGAGCCACCTGGGAAGCCCCTTAGTTAAAAGATCAGTGACTAAAATCAATCACGAAAATGAATATATCTATGTTCTTCTTTTACTTTTTCAAAGTATCCACTGTGTTTTATTTAACATTATATTAAGTTGACATAAAAAATCATTTATTTACAAGGGCACACTCTAATTTGCAAGCCTTTGCTATTCTTTAACGAAAGAAAGAATCTTTCCTACTACTTAGGCCTAACTGTAACATAAACAAAGAAGTCCTCTCAAATGTTTATTTGTTCTGACTTAATTATAGTCTCTCAAGATTACTAGGTTTCTATAAAATTAAAATTCATAAGATTGAGATTTTATAGGCAATTAGTTTAGTTATAAAATGTCATCTCCCATAAAACAACATACTTATCAAATTAAAATCAGAGTAATGTTTTCTAATGATTTTGTTAAAATATCAATTAAAATAATTGAGAGTATGAAAAACCAAAATATCAACCAAACGAAATTCCAGTCTTAACTGTTTACATGTGGTAATTTTCCACAACCTGGTAGGATTGTCAATTCTTACTGCTCTTGTTTGTGCAAATGTATTTTTATATACTTAAAATTTTATTTTTATATTTCAAAAACTAATTTCTAAATCATCCACAGAAACTAAAAATCAGTTAAAAATATACTGAGCCAACAAATGAAAGCAATGTAAACATAACCCAAATGAATCTTTAAAAAAAATAAGCAAAAAGCCATCACTGTTAATGTGTAGAATTCTTTTGGTGCATAATATACAAGTTCTTTAATACACATAGCAACTGGGCACCCTGGGAGGTGGCTGCCCATGTATCAAGTAATGACCATCATCCTTGGCACGAAGGAAGAGGGACTGCTTAGGACCACAAGAGGGCAGGGAAGACAAAATTCCAGCCTTTCTTCAGTTCTACAGGTCTGTCTGTAGTGTTATTTAAGAAGTATATCTTTTCATCCTACAATCACCGTCCTTTTCGTAGTCCAAGTTTTTTTTCCCCCCTCCTCCTTTGAAGGTTCTCAAAATCCAGATCAGAGGAGCATCAGTTTTTCTATAACATTTATGTACAAGGATGTTCTGATGTAATTCATGCATTACAGAAAAGCTGAAACATCACATAAATTCTGCATTTGTGTATGCATGAGCACATCCATAAGAAAGCCTAGGTGAGTGCAGAAACTGGACCTGGTGATGTTGACATCGAGGCGCACACGAATGGCACACCTGCCCACCCTCAAATGTCCAGCAGCTACTTCAGTTCATTGTCTGTTTTATGAAACACACCCATCCACAGGCAGTGATATGACTGTCTAATTTCACATCTCTCTACTTTCAACACTTCCCAATAATTCACAAGCTGAAACCTCTCCAATGTCCATTTCCACAAGCAAACTGCAGGTCTTTTTCAACGCAAAGTGTATTTGTAGTACTTTTTTTTTCCCTAAGCATTTAACATGTGTGAAACTATGTTATGTCTTTCACTAGGCTCCTATCTTTATTTGTTTAATTAATTAGGCTGCAGATTGTTAGTTGAAGCCTATGGGATCTAGTTCCCCAACCAGGGATGGAACCCAGGCCTTCCCCTAAGCATTTAACATGTGTGAAACTATGTTATGTCTTTCACTAGGCTCCTATCTTTATTTGTTTAATTAATTAGGCTGCAGATTGTTAGTTGAAGCCTATGGGATCTAGTTCCCCAACCAGGGATGGAACCCAGGCCTCATGCATTAGGAGTATGGAGTCTTAACCACCAGACCACCAGGGATGTCCTCCTATTTTTATTTTTATGCGTCACTAAAGAGGTTTTTGAGGACTATGCTCCTAAACCCATTTTCCACAAAAGCCCCACACTTTCACTGTCCGAGTTTGCAGAGGGAGATGATTTTTAGGAAGATGTGTGCTGTGTTACAGCAAAAGTGACTGTACTAACTAAATTATGAATTAACATACCTCTGTGCTACTAAAAATGCATCTGAAGTTTTACTAGACAAGGCATTATTTTTTAAATCCTTGCCTGAGATTTTATGCTCTTCATGACTGAAAAGGAAAAATTGAAAAGATATGATTTTATATAGATCTGTTGTTTCTAGAGGAATGCTTATAAAGAAGGGATAAAATTCAGGTCTTGATATAAAACATCCTTATACTCACAGAACAAACTAGTCCCCATTTTGTCTCTGACTTATTGTGGCATAACAGTAGAGCTAAACTTTTCTAAATATAAGTGCAGGTATTCACCTCCATCTAATTCTTACTTCCAGACTTCTGTCTGAGATGGTTTAATGTGTAAGCTCAGACTAATGGTTTTTCAACTGCGCTAAACTGCTTCAGCTCTGTCTGACTCTTTGTGACCAGATGGACTGTAGC